TATTAGATGCTTCTTTTCCTGAGTCAGGGGATATAAATAACAACCAAGTAAAATTCAATGCTGACTTTTTGTTTTCAATGGAAGATAATAGTTTTTCACTGCTATACTCTCAGCTGTCAGGCATATACTCTAGTACCTTAATTTGTGCCTGAGGAGAGTAGTCAGGCTGAGCAGCCACTGACTCCTTTGTCAACCAGAGTCTTTCTTCCTAACCTAGAAAATTTTGTGAATTAGTGTGAGTAGAGTCTCCCTTAGGAAATAAAGTATTTTGAAGTTACTTCAGCAGCAGGTCACAAGCTGTCAAAAAGATGCATTCAGTCAACCTAAGGGCAGATTTATTACACTCAATCTCCAGGGAACCTGACTACCGTATCTTGAAAAAAATCCAGCTAGTTAATTTTTGTGAAATCCCCAAATGATTCCTTCTAGGAACTCTGAGAACTGCTATTTCTGGGGGAAGGGTGATGACCTGTGCATTGAAATGACCTACTCCAGTGGTGACAGTACAAATTACTTCCAAGGAAAGGCTAAAAGGCCAAATAAATCTTAAGACTGCCCTGAGAACATGGTGGGAATTTCTCACTTCTTTTCTCATAAAGTCTGAGGACAAGAAACTGTATTTCCTCCCTCTGTCATACCTAGAAGATGCAAAATCACCTGTTTGTCTCAGGTAATTGCTGAAAAGCTGCCCTGCTGCAGCAACAATTCACAGCCAGGGTGTCCATTCCATTTAGGTGCTGAGACCACAACAGAGACTGAGTTCTGCCTATGGGTAGAGTCACCAACAGGACCCTAAATAAGATTTGAAAAGCAGATTAGGTTCCTGAAGTAAATATCCTAATATATTAAGGACCACAAATAAATAAAACCCATCCACACATTGATTATGAGCATAAACTTTTGATCAGACATGGCTGCTACCCTGGATTTATATATCCATAAATGCTATACTTGTGCCACCCATGGATGTGTATTTAGGGAAGCTCTTTCTCAGAAACTTCATTCAAGACTGAGATGCAGTTAAATGATTAATTGCAAATGTAAATTGTAATTAAGAGATTACCTTGGGAGATCTACTAATCAAAACTATATAGTCTAACTTTTATTGTATAAAAAAGCCCATTCTTAAAAAAAATACCTATCAAATAACTAACAAACAAAAGCCAACCAAAAGAAAAATCTCCAGCAAATGAGATTTTAATTTACTAAGGAAACTAACATGGTAAATATGTATTCACTTTCATCTTACCATAAAACATATTTAAATACAGTAGAAAAGGCCATTTCCTGATTCATATGCTAGAAATATATATAAAATGTAACAACCCCATAAATATTTAAATTACTGAATTTCTTCTTCACAGATACTTCCTCCTCCACCATATTTAGGAAATAGATGAAATATTTACTTTATTATTCTAAAAACCAAGTTTGTATTTTTGTTTTTGTTTACTTTAAAATAAGATATAAACCTAGCATATAGGAAATACGACTGCATATATTTATATTTAATAAGTTAATTTATTACTACTTAAGAGTTCTCTTTGTAACAGAGATGAAATAGTGCTATAAAACACTAATGACTGAAGGATTTTAATTTCTGGGTGAAAGCTTCTAGAAAAAACAAAAGACAATATATTAATAATGTCAATTTGCAAATTTTAATTTTGGAATGATACACAAACATAAATTTATTATGAACTTCTAAAATTAAAGCTTTAATATTAATGTGATCTGAATTAAAGGAAAGCAATATCTTGCCTCCAGAAACAGGCAGTGAGCTTTTCTCTGGGAGAGATTGATGATGTTCTTGTCTGTTGTGCAGTGATGGTGCCAATGCCCTCGGTGCTGTGGCACTGCTCTCTCCAGAAGGAGCAGTTACATACAGAAACTGCAATATATGCTGTTTCAGAAGAATGGCCCCCTTTAAAATACCTGTTCATGTCAAAAAGCATTTTGGAGCACTGGGATACAGCAGTGATCATGTTTAAAAATACTGCCCTAATCTTGTTAAAATTCAACTAAGAGTATTCAAATAAAAGTCTCCCAGTTTGTCTGTCAGGTTTTAGTATGTCTGCTCTAAGCTTTATTCAGACAACAGGGTTGTTATTGTTTTACTTGAAAGTACCTGTCTTTCTTCTGAACCCTGAAATCAGGATGGAACTGTATCTTCTGCTTTGATTTGTCATTTTACAAACCCTCTTTCTGTCCTTCAGCTTCTGCTGTAAGAAGCAATACCTCTTTCTGTTCCCTTCCTTTTGTCTTGACTCCCGCACTTGTAAGCTCAGTCGCGGTAATTGCATGTCTTACAACACGTGGCAAAGCCAGGCCCTTATTTCAGTCAAGAATGCCTATAATACAGAGCTGTCACAGACACCCAACAGTCCTAGAGCCATTCATATTTTCAGGTTGAAACTCTGAAGCTGAGCATCACTGAAAATTACTTCCTGTATTCTGAAAAAACAAACCAAAAAAAAAAAAAAAAAAAAAAAAAAAAAAAAAAAAAAAAAAAAAAAAAAAAAAAAAAAAAAAAAAGAAAAAAAGCCCACCACAGAAACAGTTCAGGTTATCTTAAGTTTCAGAAAAAATAAAATCGCAAATCAGAGGATACTAAATTATCACACATAGTAAAGCATTGTAAGTAAACGTGATATACTGAAAAAAGCCATTATTCTAAACAAGTTGGGTTTGTTTCTAAAACTTTGTAAGGGCCTTGCAAGTCTCCAGAGTTTCCTCATTCATGCAGGCAGTCCCATTAGAACCAGACTTACAATAAAACCACCTCTAGAGCCAAGGTTTCTAGGATAAGTACAAATGGGAAGATCCGTTATTATTTTTCAAAAGCAGTAAAACATCAAGTTGCCTAGTGAGAAAATGCAGTGTTCTGCCTGGAAAGGTTCAAGGCTTGAGTTCAGAAAACTGGGTCATTAACAAAAAAGCCCCAGAACAGAACAAGATTTCCTACTTGGGCCCCTCCCCATATGAGTGGTTTCATATCTCATTACATTCCACAAAGCTTGATCATTTTAAAAATGAAACTTTTCTGAGTGTATTGAAAACAGATGGAACTTAATCAAGAGGCCGAGATAGAAAAAAGCTTTAATGAAGATCTCTTTAAGCAATACTTTAAATAAATAAATCATTTGTACAAGAAACCACATCTATCAAAAATATAAATAATTATATAATGAACATATAAACTACATTTCCTGAAATAATTCCTGTCTTGCTACATTTCCTGAATTATTTGTATTATGAAAGAGTAGTGGGGCGCCATTAATTGATACACACTCAGTGCTATAATTACTGCGTTAATTGCAGCTCTCCAGGCCCTCAACTCAGCTCCTCCAGGCCTTTAACAATTGGGATTGATTGCACAGGAGTTATTTTTAGAATGGAATGGCAGAAGACTTTGGAGAGCAGCAGACATTTTTGTGTGTGCTACAGCTGTTTTGGGGAAAAAAAAAAGTTGAATAAAAATGTTCAGAGTTATCTTACTGGATTTTTTTTTTTGTGAAGTCAGAGCTTCCTGTTGGATAACTGATATTGTATCAAGTTGAAACTGAGGTCAGTGGTGCAGGACACAGAGGACAAAGCTTGTTACGTTCTCAGAAGAGGAGCAGCTTTTCTTTGGAAATGAGACTGCTAAGGTTGACAGTAGATGAACTCTGGTGGGTTGGATGCTGTAGACAGGCAATCTGGGAGTGAAGTTTGCAATTTAAAATACCAATGATGAAAGGCAAGATTCATTATCGACTTGGTGCCTTTTTTTCTCCAACTGTGGAGTGGAACAGTTAACTGATTGTTAGGGATTGTAGGTCGGCTTCCAGGAATGTTTCAGCTGAGAGTAAATGGCCAAGAGCCACAGGGGCCAGCTGATGCTGGAAAGGTGTGACTGGGAGGTGACACCCATTCAGTTCATCCCTGCTTGACCTTTTGTTATCCCATCCTGCTCGCCTGCCTTGCAAGAGTTCAGCTGGGCTAGATAACAACTGGACAGGACTTTGTGGCTAATCTGTTATATGAAATCAGGGCTGTCATCATCTCTGAATGTTTGTACAACAGGAGGCAAGGCTTGGAGGAAGATAAACAAGCTGAAATATGTAGGAAGAAGAATAACCAGCTTTATCAGCGAGAAAAAAACACAAACAGCAAGGGGACAAGCCTGTTTTACCTTTGTAAAGTATTAGTTACCTATCACCCTTTTCAGAGTTAATGACATCAATGGCAGTAATACCTTGGCACTGTTACACTGCAGTGCATCAGCAAATTTGAAGTGTTGTTCTAAGGAAGTGACTGTCCCCATTTAGTTTTGGAAGTGAATGATTTGGCTGTGGTTGCTCAGAAGCTTGGCAGAGTTAGGGAGATAATCCCTGTTTCATGCCTTCAGCTGCTTTTTCCTTTTCTACAGGATGCCAAAAGCATTATGGACTTACAGGCCTGTAATGTATCATTACTTCATATCTGCTAATTCCATGGGACATGAGAAATACACCCTTAGTAAGTGCCACCCATTTTTGCATTCCTTCAGAGGAAATATACACAGAATATACTTCAGTTTCTACAGTAATAGTTTATAATACTGGTTTACATAAAAAAAAAAACCCAATAAAATGGAAGAGTTAATCTTGCCTGAATATCCTGCAAGAGATTATCTAATATCTCTTTGTCACTGAATATATTCCAGTCTTAAAAAGGGTAAATTTTAGAGATTAATGGATGATAAATTAAGTTAGGTACAATAATTTCATATTAATATGAAATATAACTAGCTTTTTTATCGAGCTTGTTTTACTGTAATCTTTGTTCTTCCTCAAGTTAAGTGCAGCTTGCCCTGGACTTACACATTACCATTAGGTAAATGACTCTTCCTTATTGATTTCTGTCCTGGGTTCTCAATGCAGCTGGAATCTGGCTCCCACTGAAGTCTTGGAACTGGGAGATTTTGTCACTTCATTAGGTGATGTGCCACCTCAGACACATTATCAACACAAATTCCAAATCTGGTCTAATGCTGGGGCGGGTTTTGGGTGTGCTTTGTAAAATAATCTGTGTTTTGAAGAGGATTAATAGAAGAATGTTTTTCTGATATTTACGTCTTCACAGAACACAGTGACATCTTGTGGCATGGGAAGGGCTGGTGTCTTTTTTTTCCAAATGCATCCTCATTTTAGCAGGTTTATAGATAAAAGTCTAAACAAATTCTGGACAACTGCTAATGCATTACTTCCATCTGTAATATTCACTCTTTCCAAAGTTTTTTTTTAGTACAGGTTTGTCTAAAGTACTCTTTTAAAAAGACCGAGCTTTGGTATTGTAAATGTAGTGTGTTGGAGCTTCACTGATTGCAGTTCACCGATATTCCTTGGAAAACTTTCAGCTCCAGGAATGCTCCTGTTCCAGCCTCACTGGTACAAGAATCTGAGTCAGCATTTCAGGTGCTTTACTCAAGTTAGTGTGTTATCACAAATGGACAGTTATCCAATGTTGCTTTTGAGGGGATTGAAAAGAAAACACAGTAACATTTTATCATAAATTGGAGACTTCCTTTTTTTCCTTTTTTGTCTTTTTGCAGCTCAAACAGGGTTTAGCCCTGTCCCTGATATTTTGGGACCCTCCTCTGACATGGCAGCCCTTTTCAAGCTGATCCTTGGATAAGATCCTGGTTATCAGCATGAAGGGAAGAGCTGCCTGCGGTGCGCGGGAAGCGGCCGAGGCGCAGCAGGCGCGTCCCTGTGACCGATACAAGCACGCCTGTGCTGTTTGCAGAGGCTTTGTTTATCTCTACGGAGGGCACGGCAGCACCACGCTGAGAGACTTCTGGAGGTACCACACAGGTGAGCTGGCCCCTTCTCTTGTAGGTCAGGATTAAAGCGATTCTACATCCAGTCATCGTGAAATTGAGGATGCTCTGTACTTAACAGATTATCCTCATTAAAAGTCTTTCTGTCACAGGGCTGGGTAAACTGCTTTTGTTCATTGGGCATATGGTGGGTGTTTTCTCCTCTTGCAAGCGTCCCACAAAATTTTGGTTTCAGTTCAGTTCCTTTCGGTTTTGGTTTTTTTTTTTCCTTGACCAAAAATACAGTCATTTAAAATATCCTGGTTCTAGCAAGGGATATCAGTGAACTTTCCCGACTTTCTTAACACAGCAATAGTTCATGCATATAAAAGTGCACAAAGGGAACATGTAAATACAATACCTTCTCGGTTTCTAGTGTCAATACACTATAAAATATAAGACTTTGTATTTTTTGACTTGATGTATGGCTTTCCCTGTTCAGTTGTTACTGGAATAAAACAGAATTGTCCTAGGGTTCGTGCTCATGGAATTGTCCAGATTTGACATAGGCAACAATTAAAATACAAGTAATAACAATTATTATATTTAAATAATAATATTTAAATTTGCTAAATAGAAAAATGCATGTATTTAATTTTTAACAGAGGAAAGATTACAAAATGTTTCATTTTAAGCAGCACAGCCACATTCAAAGCCCACCTTTTCCCCGCTGTTTATGTGTGGAGTACACTACTGTCTTAACTTTAGCTTTGGTTTATAGTGAAAAATGAATGGGAAATGTTGGATTGCTCAAGAGATGGTCCAGAAGAACTGGAAGAACATTCAATGGTGGCTTATAAGGTAGTAGACCAGAATTATATTGTCCATATCCTGACATTTTATTTCCTACTATACAATGCAATAAAATGCCACAGGTTATTATGTACTGTAACACTATGCCCAGAAAGCATTTTGCATTGTTGCAGTTCTGGATGTAGCTGTACCAATGTTTGGAAATCTTTCTGAACAGAGTGACAGTAATTCAGCCCTGCAGCAGCCCCCTGGTTTTCTCAGTCAGTGCTCAGTAAGTAACAGTAATACCAGATAAAGACCCTGGCAGCACTTCCCCTGACTTATCCGTGCAGTTGTAACAGTTGCTCTGAATTCATTTGCATGATCAGCTACAGCATAAAAACATTCACTGCAGAACTCGCGTAGAAGAGGGACGGGGGAGTAAAGCAAAGTAAGAATTACAGCCCTGCCTGTGAGAGGAAGACAGAATTTAGGATATCAAGAGCTACCACACAGTGAAACACTTCTCTAAACATGCATAATCCAATATACCTGAGCAATGCCTCAAGAGAGCTCCAGATTTCCAGCGCTGAAGCTGCCCCAGGCTAACAAGGAACAGTTCTGAAATACTGTCCCCATTAAACAGCAGAATGTTCTTCAGGGCTTCCCACTGCAGGAGAATAAACAGAGAATAATTAAAAGTTGGTGGCTTTTTGGGACTAATTGTTAAAAGATCATCATACTGTTAACTATATTTTGCTGATAGCAACTTTTCATTTAAGAATTGTTTTTAAAATTATTTTCATGCTGTGTACCTCCCTGTAAGTGACAAATACTTGTGCATTTTGCAGGGCAGCCTGTATATTTTTGGTGGGATGGTGGATTCTGCTTTCACACAAGCAAAAACTCCTCTCTGGATATATGACACTGGTATGATACACAATAGCTGGTCTTTTCCATGGGACATTCCAAGTTCATAGGCAGTAATAAATAATGAGAACCAAACAGTTTTCTGCTGCTTGTAACAGAGCCTTCCCTAAACTTTACAACAAGTAATGTGTGTAAAACTGTGTGCATATTTTCCTCTCAAAATTAGGCTGTTAAACTATCAGAGATGCTGCTCTTATTTCAATTAATGAGGATTTTATGGGAAAATTTTATGTATTTTTAGGTCCCAGAATTTCCATTCCTCCTTCTCTCCTCCTTAAGTTTGCTATTTGATCATAAGACCTGATAATTCATGCATTATTTAGTTTTTATTTTTTATGCCACGTATGTTTTAGAAACTAAGCTCTTATGGAAGAAAATAGAGTAGTAAAATATATCTCATTTGTACTTTTACTGAAGAAGCACATAAGCTAGAGCAAAAAAAATCAAATGTTCAATAAGGTGGGAAATTAACATCAACATTTTATTACATGGATTTTTTTTTCTTCTAAGAACAGACATTTAGGATCCCTTAAGTGTATATTCTAATAAAAACAGTGGAGCATTTGAATTTAATAGCAATGTCGTACACCGTGAATTTGCCCTTTGGAAATCCTGCATACAGTAGTAGCTATTATTTTTATGTCAGACTGGGAGGAGAGAGAGAGGAGCTCAGTTCTTTTGGAGCCAGTAAATCTTGTGTCCAGACCAAGATTTAAGTTTACTGACTTCTTTTGCTACTTCACCATGTAACTTTAAATCAGTGGGGTTTTTTCAATCCTTTGTTTCTGTTTTCCACCAGTTGTCTGAGATAACCTGCTGGAGGAAAGAAAAGCCTTGGAACATATTTTAAAGGAGAAAGCATCTTATTACTCACATTACTTACCAGTGGAAATTGGAAATTAGTTATTCAACATTGGTAGTGTGTCTAGCTGTTTCATAGTTATTATTTTAAATCTTTTGGCAATAATAGCCTTAAGTAATGCAAGCCTGCACTGATTTCTCATTGTACTTCTGTGGTGGGTTTTCTGATATTTCCTCTCCTTCACGGTTATCCCAGATCTGTGATTGCTGGCTGTTATTTGAGGGCTATTTAAGGGACCTATGAAAAAGAACAAGAAAGAATAAGTCTGCCATAATAAGGTGTATGTGCTAAGCTGAAGGATTCATACATCCATAGGGAAATCTGGGATTCCTACAAGTTCAGAAAATGATGAAAATCACACGTTACTTCTGCATTATGAAATTAGCTTTAGGAAACAGGAATACAGTGTGGTACCTGTGTAATTCTGTATCAGATAAAGACAGAGGAAAAGGGTTCAAACTGTGTCTCCTGCAAGTCTCTCGGTGCTGCTGTCTTAGCGGGATTTCTTCAGCCTTGTCAGTAGAAAACACCAGGACGAGACTTCCTTGAAAATGAGCTGTGTAGTTTGAACAATTACTGTGGGAGGAGTGTCCTCTTGTGGTGCGGGATCTAAACTGCGCTTTATTAACTCAATCCCCCAGATTCCGCAAGATGGACAGAGAGCTGCAACGAACCAGCAGAGACGGAGGTAAGGAGCCAGGAAGTGGGGAATGTGTGAATCAAATGCCTGTTGCTTTGTTGATTAAACAGATTGCTTTGAAATATGTTCCCCCAAACAGTTCCAATCTCATCTCTTCAGAGACATGTGGCTGTACTTTATTTCTTTGCACTTTCAATAACTTAAGGCTTTTTCCTTCTTCAAAACAGTGTTTAAAAATACTGCTCTTAAATTTTAAGTCCTATATAAGAAGTTAAGTCCTCTCCTCTGCTGCTGCTTCTGTTTTGCTGAAATACTTACCAAGAAAACTAATTTTAAGTGGAATATTGCAACCATACGTGAAGCCTGTGCTTTTAAAAGTAGGGTTGTGAAAACAGATTGGCAGCCACGCTAATACGTTTTGGAACGTGAAGTGCTGCAGCATTTTTCAATTCTTCAGTGTGAACACGTGGACTCACCAAGTTACTGCCACTTCTAATTGAAACCTGAGTGGAAGCATTTATGGCTTGGTCTATTGAGATTGATTTTGTATCACTACACATTAAGAGCCACTAATTTTTTGCTACTGAAACTTCATCATCACAATGCTTCTGTACCCTGAAATTACATCAAAATGTTTTTGTTTTTTTTTTTAAGATGTGACACACTTACCACTCTGGTTGCCTTTGCTTGATAAAGGAGTCACGGGAAAGTTTGGGACTGCAGGCTCATTTGTGGGGGGAAAAAAAAAAGGTATATTTCCAAGACAGACATTGCTACTGATATGACTCAATAGGTTTTTGTCTTATTTTTGAACTGTTCTAGAGCTCTGCACCAGCTAACAGAAAAGGACACAGTGCAGTCGTGTACCATTCCAGTATGTACATCTATGGGGGATACTTTGGCATCAAAGGCATTTCTCAGGAGTTTTGGGAATTCCATTTTGGTAAGTTAAAAAAGCAGGATAAGGTTTTGATCTGGTGTAAAACAACAATTGTAGAAGGAGAGCTTGCTCTGCTAAGAAAATTCTTGTCAGTAGAAATGCTCTAAGTTCATTTCGGCTTCTTTTCAACAACATTTAGCGATAAATTCTGTCAGTTCAGTAAATTGCTTGCTGAAATTAGACTATTCCACTGGAATATATTTTACAGTGTTTGCCAGTTTTACAGCTGAAAATCAGGGAGAATGTTTGTTTACTACTCACTAAAATTCTTCAAGGACTACTAAAAGCTTTCAGATCCAGCAGGGACCCAGATTTCAGCCTATTAATGCCATCTTTTGATCTCAAGTCTCCAACTGACCACAGGGAGTCAAACCTGACAGGAGATAGTTTATTAGCATATTCATTACCAGTCTGACTATTGCAAACAAGATGATTCCCAGAGATTTCCTAAATGTATAACTTGTTATCTGATGGCTATTCTGTCACTATTTTGAAACAAATTATGGGTTTATCTCATCCTTCCTTCCCTCACAGGGAGAATAAGCAGAGACATTAGTGAATTAAAGTTTTTGTTGACTGATTTTTTCGCTCTAACAGCCAGGAAATTATCTTTCTGTGTCAGAGTCAATGAACTGACAAAGCTGAAGGAAAAACTGCTCTGTAAATAAAATTTCCATGGCATCTGTCACACAGCATCTGACATTTTCATTAAAAGTTTATTTCAAAACTGATTTTTTTAAATGCACTTTTTCAGTGTCAGAATTTAAACTGTTAACTCATTAACAGCTTAGTGCAGAAACTCCTATTCTCCAACTGAATAGTTACCTCCTCCAGGAAGTAAATCCTCTCTCAAATAGTCAGGGTAAATTTGATCCACCTATAAATGAGTGTTTTTGTTCCAGGTACAAGGAAGTGGCTGTGTGTCTCCAGCTCCTGTCACAGCAGTGGTCCCGGAGCGCGGCACGGCCACTCGGCAGTGGTTTATCACACAGCCATGTACCTCTTTGGGGGGCTGATGGGGCTCACTGAACAGAGGGACTTGTGGAGGTGGGATTTTGGAAGTAGCAGCTGGTCCAGCATCAGAACAAGGTAAACTATTCTATTTGTTACACCGAAAGAGCAGAGAAAGAGAATTAATCTTACTCTTTGACACTGTGTGCGGGTGGAGAGGGAGACGATGCCCTCTTGGTAATTGTAGGGATTGTTCAGATCAGGATGCAGTGCTGCTGCCATCCCTGGGCCTCCAGTTGGCTTTGCTCGGGAGAGCTGTTGGCAAGGCGTTGATGCAGCTGTCAGCAGTGTAATTTTGATGTCCCAATGCAGCTGTTCAGCAGTCATCCTTCTGAGTCAAAAGGAAAACAGAAGCTAAAATCAGTGCTAAGTTTCTTTGTGGTCTCCCCTTAACTGCTGGTTTCTCTTGCCTTCAGCCAAGGACCTCCTCCAGTGGTAGGTCACGCTTCAATAGTCTGCAAAGACTCTATGCTGATTTTTGGTGGAGGGATTTCAAATTCCAGCCCTAATGATGACCTCTGGAAGTATCATTTCCATACGCAGACATGGAAGAAGCTTAGTAGTACTACAAAGGGAAACTTTTCTCCTAAAATGTATCACTGCATCTTAGGAATTGGTACAGATTTCCAAACTACCTCAGATTTCACTGATACATTCCCCAGCCACTGCAAGAGTGAGCAGAAGGACCGTGCCCAGCTGGTGCCCATCCCGAGGCACTCCGGCTTTTGCAGCTTCTTCCGCCCACAGCCCACAGAGCGGAGCAACGCCATTGAAATGAAAACCTTCAGCCTGCCCCTGGAGCCAGCAGAATTCCCTGCCTTCCAGACCACTTCAGAGGCAGGACTAGGCCCAAAGAGAGACAGGAGCTGTTTGTCCAAGGACAAGTCTCTCCATCTGTTGGCCTGTTCGGGAGAAGCTTTTGCTTCTGCTCAGGCTGTGGGTGAAGAGGAGAGACCTGACTGTGGGTGTGTGGCCACGGGGGGTGAGATCAGCAGTACCAACACACTGCTGCTCATTGGGGGCAAACCTTTGTCCAGCTTCTCCGAGATCTCCTTCAGGGAAATGGAGTTTGATTGCTTGTGATTGCTTTGCTTGCAAAGTGAAGGAATAAATTTCCACCACAGTGGCAGTAGGTGGAAAACCAACTGCTTGCAACTGTCTTCAGCTTCCTATCAGAACGCTGGGGAAAAAAATAATTAAACCTTCTCATACTTGCTGCGAACAGATTTTTTACAATGTTAACAAAACCCAACATATATTTAAGTCACAACTTGCATGTAAGTTGTGATTTCTGAGAGGAGCTTTTTGCTGCTCTTTTTGTTACTTTTCTCCTGGTCACTTCATACCCTTTCAAACTGGCAATGGCCAATGCTGCCTTGAAAATCAGAACTGCCTTAACCCATACTGGCTCCACAAGATGCCATTTCAGGGGCAAAGCTTGCTTGTTTTGCACTGGCATAAGAGAGAAATACAGTCACATTAGAGGGATTCAATTAGTCTTAACAGACTTAATGTTCTCTAAGATTTTAAAGATTTTATATTCTTGAATTCTCTTTGCGCAATATATTTGCAACATGAGATGGTCTACAACAAAGTAACCCAACAGACAATTCAGCAGCTCAATTCTAGAAGATATTCAAGGCTTGTGTATAACCTTGAGGAAGTGAAACAATGAGTGCTCCTTGGAAATCATCAGCAAGGACCACAGCTTCAAGGACATTATACCTGTAAGAACACAGGATGTGCCAAATGAGTCTTAGCTTTAATGACTGAACACAATCAAAATGGTTTGATTTCCTACAGCGGGCTGGGGAAGGAACAGGAAGAGGAGGGCTTGACAGAGTGACACAAAGCATGGGCTGTTTCAACTGGTAAGTCATGTTTTAGCCCTAAAGAGATTTCTGCTTTTCCAACCCCATCTCTCTTTTATCACCCTGTGTAGTATTTGTTACTCATTTCCCCTCTGTAGTAGTAAATTCGGAGTTCATATATGATTTTTCTTCACTGAAAAGGTGCTTGTTTTGCAAGGTAATATTGTCCAGCGTTCAAAGCATTTATTTCTACAGAAGTTACTAAATTCTGGCCTTCTGACAGAATATCAGCTGTCTGTAAGAGCTGCTGGTATCTGAAATTACCTGAAAGTGTAAGTTAATGCTTCCAAATATTTAAAAAGTTCACTTTTCAAAATAATTGGAAGTATTAACTTCCAGAAAGTTCACTTTTCAAAAGTTTCATAGAATAGTGACTTTCAAGTAATTTACAGATTTCATCATCTCTTCACAAGTTAACTGTCACGTGAATTCAATAGGAAAACTATAGATGGATTTGCAAAAGCTACTTAAGAGTTATTTGGACCACCCATGACCCTCTCACCTGGAAACAGACAGGACTGTACACCGCCGTGTGAATAAAGCCTGCTCCATTTCCTATCACTGTGCGCTCATGCTCACCTTTATGAGTCTAAAATATGTGTTTGCATTTTCTAACTGAACAAAGAACTTACCTTTTTGACCAAGGAACACGATTCTGCATTTCCCTGCACTTCAGCCAGCTTTGAGGGCTGCCCTTTGAATTTCTCCAAGAAGAAGAATAATTTCCCAGTTTGAGGAGGTTTGGTTGGAAGGGACATCAATACAGTGACTGAGCTGAGCATGTACTCAGCACTGCAGTCTTAGATCAGCAGCTTGTTTTCCTCGTGCTGACTGACATGTCTGTTTTGGCTTTATCCTGAGAGCTGCTGTAACATACAGCCTTTTATCTAGGATTGACAAGGGAAGGAAATTTAACTGGAAAGGGCAACAATAAACCAGTGATGCTTCCAAGTCACGCGAAGGCCTCCTGGCAGGTAGCGGTATCCTGGGGATGTGCAAGAGCCCCAGGAAAATGCCATCCAGCCTCTGCCATTCCTTTCTTCCTGCCCCCTCAAACTCTCTTCCCTTTGGCAGCTCCCCAAAGGGTTTAACATTTACCCAGAGCCAACACAGGTGGGACACAAGCCAGCCCAAAGGCAATGGCTTGGTACAGGCAGCAAAAAGTGCTTGGAGTGAGCCCATCTTCCCTGTTCTCTCCCCTGGGCTCTGCCCGTGGGCCAGGTCAGATGGGGGCACCAGCACTGGCAGCACCACACCCACTCTGCCAAACCTCTCAAGCTGTTCCCTGCCCCTGTACAGGACATGCAGGGAGCAGGGGCTGGGAAAGGCCTGGCTGGAGGGATGGGGGCTCAGGCCTGGCTCGCAGGAGGCTGAGCCACAGTTGGCCCCAGCAATGCTGTGCAAGGGGAGAGAGCCCTGATCCTGAAGTGGGGCTCTGTGCTACAGCAGCTTTGCTAAAGCCACTGGAGGCTCGCTCTTCCCCTTGTGGGCCATTCCCAGATCTTCAAAAAACAAAGGTGAGCTCAAGGTGGAAGGGAGGGGTGTTGGGAATTGAAGTGACTGCATCCCACAAATGCCCACAGGAGTGCCTGACATCTCAGTCCACTCTGGGCATGCACAACCCATATTTCAGGCATCCTCCAGTGTCCAGACCTAGGGACACAATCATTGCTCACACCACTGTGACACTTCCTGGGTCATATTCCCTTTCAAACCTTAGCCAGTGCTATCAGCTACACCAAAAGGGTTCTCAGAGCACCTCACTCCTCTTTTCTCACTGCAGGCACCTTTTCAGAGAGAAAGAAAAGGGCCTTTGTGGATGTGCTTATATTTCTCCATAACTGTAGCAATTAATAAGAATTCAAGCCAGGCCCAAGTGACTAAAAGCTGCTGCCATCTGAAAGCTCGGTGGTGGCCTGCATGAAATAATGAATGGAATTACTCCAGCTAGTGGCAAATATTTAGAAACAAAACAAAACACACCATTTTTGGCTGGGACTGAAGGGGCTGCCACTGAAGCTGGCTGTTTAGAATACCTCTGAAGAGCAGGGAACCTTGCACATATCTGATATGCTCAGAAATTCAGTCCACAGGAAAAAAGCAAAAGGATGCAGCATTCTTGGCAACCTCATCTAAGACATAAGAAGTGCTGTTTTATCATAAATTGCATATAGGGAACAAATTGATCAGCGCTAAACATCTCAACAAACTCACTGTTTTAACTGACATTTGGTTTCTGAACATTAAAATGTATGAATAGCAGAAATATTTTCTTCTAAAATGCAGGTATTCAAAGAAGGTTTTTTCAGTTAATAATAAAGAAACCTAAATGTTTAATTGTTTTGAGTTGTAAGTGGATTTGAAGAACAATTCAATGATTTATCAGTGGGATCACAGTTTGACCTACACAACAAATTATGCCACAGAGAAATTATCTCCTAGGAGCTTAGTCATTAGGATGGAGTAATTTCTCTTCCTTTTGATACTTTCCAATTTTTGAGAAACAAAGATGTTCAAAGAATTTAGTTGCCTTTTGCTGCCATCTTTAGCATTTAGTCGATGTCAGGGCTTGGGAGTTCCCTTTGAACAGTCACTAGGTGCTGCTGCACTTGAGGACACAGCTCAGTCCCTTGCTGCAGACAAGTGAGGGTGCTCGGTTAACTGGCCTGCACTGGAACCACACCGGGCAGCTCAGCTCCCCTTCTGGGCACACACCTCGGCACTAGTTCTCAAAGGTACTGGACACCTGACAGTCCTCCTGGACAATCCCAGCTCTGTTGGAAAAAAGGCATTTAATTCTGAAACATCCACCTGCAAGCTTTGGTGCTATCCTAAGTTAAGCTTTAACTGACAACAGGCTAATTTTGGAGCAGCAACCCGGTGTTCCAAGCCCCAGCTGACCCACCTCTGAGTGCTGTACCAGTGTAACACAGGGGGCTTAAAGATGACTCTGGGAGAGTTTTGCACTGACATGGTGTATTTCAGACAAAACTACAGTATAAACATTCCAAGACTGGGTTGAGTGGACTACAGATCTACTTGTTCCCATGTACAGTTTCAATACAGATCTCAGTGCAGTGCCTAAGACAGTTCATACGTCACCAGTGCAGTGAAACAGAAGCAAGAGGGTGCACTTCGTTTTATAAAAAACCCAACCAATAAATTATACATTGAGAGCTATTGCCAAGCTTTACATATAAAAAGTAAAAATACAGTAGTTAGTGCGGCTTTAACAAAACAAATCTAGCTAAAAAAATATTCTTATATACTTTAAAAATAAGTTTGTCCAGTTATATAGGTAGGGGTGGTGTGTGTGTTTATGGAGCAGAGTGTTCCAAGCCAAGCAGTCAAAAGGAGGTGAATTCTGCAGGAGAATCCTGTGGCTCCTGGCTCTGCGGGTGTGGCAGCGCTGCCGGGAGTGCCTGCTCCTCAAGCCAGCAGCAACCCAGAGCCAGCAGTGACACCGAGCCCGGCCCTGGCTTTAAGGGCTGTGCCTGTGACACCGAGCCGGGCCCTGGCTTTAAGGGCTGTGCCTGTGACACCGAGCCCGGCCCTGGCTTTAAGGGCTGTGCCTGTGACACCGAGCCCGGCCCTGGCTTTAAGGGCTGTGCCGAGCACCTGCAGCCCCTCCAGCACTGCCTGCAGCCACTGCAGCTCTGCCTGTGGGGAGGGCCCTGCACTCCTGTCTGCGGTACCAACACCTGGAGCAAACACACCCAGATCACACCTCTGTCACTGAAAGGCCACTAGTACATCTTGGTCTATCTTCTGGTTGAAAAGTTATGATTGTCCAGCTGCATTTGAAAGCTGTGACATTACAGTGTCTAACAGCTACATATATATATATGTACGTATATAGATACTACAGCTTCCTAAACTCAGAAACACTATGTGCCCAGATAGAGCTTTAAATGCTAGCTGGCTGCTAGCTGCTATCACTTCACCAGTAGATTTGGGCTGTACCAGAATATATTCACAATGTGAAAAATACATCCAGTGCTGCTTGTGAAGGACACACTCATCCCAACACGCTTCATGAAAGCAGAAGGAAGGAGCACGGTGCAGACAAAGGGAAAGCAAACAGCTTGTACAGAGACCCACACATAGCTGCACTGCTCACCTGAGCTGCTCTAACAGGGCTGCAAATTTTCTTGCTAAAGTTGTGTCCAAAACATTGTCCAAAATTGTCTTAACATAGCTGTCTTCGACAAA